GTTTTTTTAACAGTGTCCTGTCTGGCAATGTGGCAATAAGAATAATTGTCTTAATGCCAAAAAGAGCCCAACATATTTTACTTTCACAAGTGGAGGAGTATGGCTATTGCCATATCGTTCCGCTAGATTTATGCATATAAATAGGTTTATTCTAATTATGCAGAGAGTTTTACAGATAATATGGACACTGCAATGTAAGTAGAATAGGAAAGGAAAAGCAGAAAAAAAAAGAGAAAAGATGAAAGAGAGGAGATAAAAGGGAGATAATGATAAAACATTTTCATTCTGATTGATCACCAGCAAAGAGATGTAAAAAGAACAGCACAACCAACGGACATGGTACGAGACATACAATAAAGTAACACCTAGATACTATCGTTGAAGTATTAGTAGTTAATCTGACATGTATTCTGTGTTACCTTAAGATAACTTGACTTGACTTGTCAACATCTTCTACCATAAGCTTGTTTCAAGCTTTTTTCTTCACTCTTGAGGTCTTGCACACTGATTATTTATACTGTCCATTGAAGATAAGATCAGTAATTATTGGTTTTAGGGAAAATATGTACCTGTAAAGTAATATGTAATAAAATAATTTATTATTGAAAGTCAATTAATTATAGTAACACAATTCACTAAGTGAAACACGAATATATAGATTAATTAAACATATGTTTTCTGACCCATTTTGTCCTGTTAGTACCTGTTTGCATTTTTTAAGAGACCTTCATTTGATAAATGTGCCTTATCCGAATCTATTTTAAAATCTCGAAAATTTGACTGTATTTTCAAAGACCTCTGGAAGTGCTTCTTGGCTCATGGCCAACTCCATTATTCTTTTGACTTTGCTGTCAGACACTGAACAAGGGGCATCTGGCTTGTTTATAATTAAATAGCTTTCTGTCAACTTCCAGATATACTTTCAACAGTACTTACTGGAACAGTCAAAGTTTTTAGATATTGTTGAAATCTTGCCATAAGTATTTTTTAATACTGCTTCTAATAGTCCTTGCTTTTTGCAAAACTTTGGTGATAAAAAAATCTTCACAAGATTCATCATTTGATATTATACCACATATTGATTTCCTAGTAACAAAGCAAATTCATTTTTATTTGCTGACAGATTTAAATAATGGATTTGTTGATAAGTGGAGAAATGTACATGTTACATCAGCTCAAATAATCAAAAAAGAATTTGGATTTCTTTTTCTTTTGCACATCCCTTCTTGTTTGTATTTATCATGCATTTCCTGTATTTTTACACCTCATTGCTCATATGTTTGATTGGCTGTGATTTATTTGCATATTTTGATTACTATGAGTCATTTAAGCCTTAAGAAGATTAAATGACAAGAACCAAGTGTGCATATGGAATCAGAGAGGGGCATTGAAGACCTACAAGGTTGGTCAAAATATTTTCTTTTTTCTTGACATCAGCTTGCAGTTTTTTTCTGGGGTTCTTTTTGTAATAGCTGGTCGTTAGTTAGATACATTTGCTGCTTTTTGCAAATTGTTTAAATAGCTTTTTTGTTTTGCATTAGAAAAAAGTCCCATATTACTGAAACCAATTGGTGAAGAGTCATAATTGTTAACATCTTTTGGAGACCAACACTAAATAAAAAGGTGGATTACTTAATTTTAAGGCAATTAGAGTACAAAATAGAAAGAAAGAAAAAAAGGAAGAAAGAAAAGGAAGCAAGAAAGAAAGAAAAAAAGGAAGAATGAAAAAAAGACTGCAAAATGATGTTATGTTTGCTTTTTGCAAAGTGTTTAAAAAAGCTTTTTTGTTGTTTAAAAAGCTTTGTTGTTTTGCATTAGAAAAAAAGTCCCATATTACTAAAACCAATTGATGAGATGTCATAACTGTCAACATTTTTGGACGCAAACGCTAAATAAAAAGGGGGACTACCTAATTGTAAGGCAATTAGAGGACAAAATAGTTTCCTATAGCCAGAAACAGAAAGAAAGAAAGAAAGAAAGAAAGAAAGAAAGAAAGAAAGAAAGAAAGAAAGAAAGAAAGAAAGAAAGAAAGAAAGAAAGAAAGAAAGTTATGTTTTATTAAAAAAGTAGTTCTACATTTCTCGGTTATGTCATGGTCTCTTAGGAGTCAGACATTATTGCTGTTTGAAAAACTACAAGTACAGAAAATGTTGAATAAAATCTACCGACAGCTGATAGGATATTAAATCAGTGTGCGCACCGTGTTTTAGCACCTGAAGAACGCAGATAATGCGTGTGGCGCCAAATCAATGTTATACCTGCTGGAACTAATTCAGCTCATTTTCCTAATCCAGCCTCTTTTTGTGAATGCCAGCCGTGTCGCCCACTGGCGATGCTGCTAAGCCCACAAGCTTTCAGATATTCTCCAATATGTGCAAAGATGGGCGGTAGCAGCTCAGCAAAAGCCTCTACAAAGCATAAAGTTAAAACTCCTGTGCGCTGTGGAAGCTGAGAGCATCAGAGGGATAGATGCGCGGGAGTCACATCCATCTGACTCCCATCAATCTGTGGGATTTTATTCTCTCCAAGTGATCCAGCCTGGGTGAGCATTGCACAGATTCCCCTCCACTGCAGCGAAGATGCTGCTCCACGGACTTGTCCTGTATTTTTCAACAGCAGCTTTTGTTTTCGCGCAGCCGGACAGCTCCGGGTTATTTTACGCGCTCCGGTCGGAGCTGTCGGAGGATGCAATTCTGGTGGCCAACAACGGAATACGCGTCCCTTTCGGGAGATCGGTCTTTATCGACCCCATTAACGATCTAGTGGTTCAGACACAGCCGGGAGACCGGTGCAGCATCACGGTGCTGGAAAACGACCCGCTCACACAGAGACCTGGGCACCTCTCTCCTAAAAAGTTTCCCTGCGATTTCGGTCCAAGCGACGTGATGTATTCCCACTACGGCTCCAGGAGTCCCGCTAAGGACAGAGTGAGGCTGCAGCTCAGGTATGATGCCCAAACAGAAACTGTTATCATCCCGTTCATGATGGAGGTGGAAGTAGTTTTTACGCAGCTGGAGTTACTAACCAAAAACATGCCTCTCACTGTTGATCGTCTTAAAGGGATGAGTAATCCTATTGATAAGAAGATCCTAGAGTTTACTTATGACAGAGAGTCTTACAAATGTGAGGTGGCATCCCTATCCGGCGCCAGCACCATGCCCAGATATGGAAAACTCATTGATGGAGGTAAACTTGCCTCAGTGATGGACTGTGATGAATTTATGCAAGCAGATATTCGCTATGAGCACACCTTTGATCACAAATCTCCAAACAGGGATTATGTTCCTATGGTTGTGGAGCTGCATGACAAAGAAGGGAACCTGGTGAATCAGGAGTATTTTCATCTCTTGGTTCGCATTCGAAATGGGGAGGAGAACACTCCCCCCAAGCCCAGCTTTGTTTCCATGATGATGATGGAGGTGAGCCAGTTTGTGATGACTGCCCTCACTCCTGACATGCTGGCTGCTGAGGATACGGAGTCAGACCCAGAAGAGCTAATTTTTAATATCACATCTCCCTTATCTTATGAGGAGGGCTATATAGTCAGCACAGATGACAGAAACCTCCCAATCAGCTCCTTCTACCAGAGAGATCTGCAAGATTTGAAAATAGCTTATGTTCCACCTTCTCTGGACTCAGACAGTGAGAGGATTTTCCAGCTGGAACTTGAGGTCATAGACACGGAGGGGGCCGTCTCTGACACATTTGCTTTTATGATTGTTGTGAAGCCGATGAACACCTTGGCCCCTATTGTAACGCGTAACACGGGTCAGCTTCTCTATGAGGGCCAGTCACGGCCTCTCATCAGCACCCAAAACTTGGAGATCAGCGATGAGGACAACTTGGACTCTGTCACAGTCACAGTAGTGGACGGCCTTCGGCACGGGGACCTCATGGTGCTGGGCTCTCAGAGGAAATTCTTCACACCTGCTGACCTCACTACAGGAGCTGTTGTCTACCAGCATGATGGCAGCGACACATACAGTGACAACATTGTCTTTAAGATGACAGATGGAAAAAATGATGTTGAATTTCTCTTTCCTATTACAATCGTCCCCACTGATGATGAGCCGCCAATCATCAACGCCAACACAGGTTTGGTGCTCTTTAAACACCAAATAATTCCCATATCTCCTCTCATGCTCAGTGCTGCTGATATTGACTCTGAAGACTCCATGATTAAATTTACCATTATCCCCCCACTTTCAACAATTGGCAAAGTGCTCCTTCGGCAGTCGGATGCCCCGGAGGACCCCTCCTCTTGGAAATTTAATGCTGAGGATGAAATGTATGAGAAGGAGGTGACAGAGTGGCTTCAGAAAGACATAACAGAGGGAAAGTTGTTTTACAGGCACACAGGTCCTCACAGCACAGAAACAATCATGGATCAGTTTATATTTGCAGTTCAGGATGACAATGACCCACCTAATTTATCTGGAGAAAGTATCTTTGTAATTCGTGTTTTACCAGTTGATGATGTGCCCCCTGAACTGTACCCTGGCACTGCTCTACAGATGACCGTTGAGGAATATGAACTCACTCAGTTCAGCAGAGAGGTCCTCCGCTACACTGATACGGACTCAGAGGATCGTGACCTCAAGTACACAGTCATCCAGGCCCCAACTGATATGGATGAAAATAATCCTGTCGTGTTTGGATCTTTAGTGCTGACAGAACGTCCTGATACTGAAATGACAGAGTTTACACAAGCTCAAATCAACCATCATAAGATCTCCTATGCACCCCCAGACTTGGAGCTGGGGATCACGGCCCACATTGTACAGTTCTGCTACACGGTTGAAGACACAGCAGGAAACAGCATAGACGGGGCATTTACCATCTTTCTGCAGCCGGTCAACAACAACCCCCCACAGATCACAAACACTGGCTTTACAGTGTTTGAAGGCGGGATGCACATCATCACTGTTGCAGAGCTAGATGCTCAAGACCTCGACACAGAAAGTGAAAAGATAACCTTTGCTTTAAGCCGAGCACCTAAACATGGCAAAATTCAGGCTGTGTTCACTGACCTGGAGAAAAACAGGGTTTTCAAACTGGATGATATCTCAGAGGGGAAGATATCATATATTCACAGCGGGGAGGAGACGATGAGCGATGATTTTCAGCTGGATGTCAGTGATGGGATACATGTTGTAACTGTGATGGTCAAAGTTAATGTAAAGCCTATTGATGATGAAACTCCGTCCATCAGCCTGCCCACAGGAACAATTGGGTCCCACATGGACGTCCTGGAAAATGGAGTGGCAGAAATAACAACAAATGTAATTCAAGGCCATGATGATGACACTGATGACTTCCGGCTTACATTTATTGTGGAAGATCCTCCAGTATTTGGGGACATTTTAGTCAAAGGAGTGCCGGCGACAAGGTTTACACAGGCCGACATAATTAATGGAGTAGTTGTGTATGCGCACACAGGTGGCGAGATAGGTCTTATCTCTCAGCAAGATGGATTTAATTTGACCCTCACCGACATGTCTGATGATTGGACAGTAGGGGGCAATAAGGTCAGTGGAGTCCATATTCGAGTCACCGTCCTGCCTGTTGACAATCAGGCCCCTGAAGTTGGAGTTGGGCTCCAGTTCAGCATTATTGAGGGAGAGAAATATGGAATCGGCCCTCAGCACTTGTACGCTGATGATAATGACACTCCAACAGATGATATCCTTTGCACCATCATTGTTCAGCCCTCCACAGGCTATGTGGAAAATATATCCCCAGCTCCAGGCTCAGAAAAGTCAAGGTCAGGAACAGCTATCAGTGCATTCACCATCAGAGACATAAGGGAGGGAAATATTTTCTATGTGCAGAGCATTCATAAGGGTGTTGAGCCACTGGAGGATCGGTTCACATTTAGGTGCTCTGATGGCATCAATTTCTCAGGGAACAATTTATTTCCAATCATAATCATCCCTACAAATGATGAAAAGCCAGAGATTTACTTGGGGGAGATAGTTTTGATGGAGGGGATGAACATTATCATCGACTCCTCAATTTTGAATGGAGCTGACGCCGACGTTCCACCCGAGGAGCTGATGTTCATCATTTCCAAACCTCCTAAACATGGTGCTATTTTAAATCAGCTATCCACAGGCTCTGTTTTGGTGTCTAACTTCACCTTAGAACAGATTATAGAGGCATCAGGTATAATTTATGAACATGATGACTCAGAGACTACAGAGGACAGATTTGATATCATTTTGACAGATGGAAAGTACTCTGTGCAGAAAACAGCTGTTATCATGATCATCCCTGTTGATGATGAGACCCCCAGAATGGCTATCAATGATGGCCTGGAGGTTGAACTCGGCGAGACGAAAGAGATTAACAATAAAGTTCTCAAAGCAACAGATTTAGATTCAGAAGACAGCACACTAACATATATCATCCGATTTGGGCCTGGTCAGGGAATATTACAGAGAAAAAACCCATCCAGGTCTCTTGAGAACATTACAGTCGGCATGAATTTCACACAATCTGAAATTGACCTAGGACTCATACAGTACACACACAATGGACAAGAGGGCATCCGAGATTTAGTTAAATTCGATGTGACTGATGGAATAAACTCACTCATAGATCGTTACTTCTATATCTCTGTGGGCAGCATTGACATGGTTTTCCCAGATGTCATCAGTAAAGGTGTGTCGTTGAGAGAAGGTGGGAGAGTGACTTTGACCACAGATCTTCTGAGCACCTCTGACCTTAACAGTCCTGATGAGAACTTAGTTTTTACTGTCACGCGGGCACCAGTCAGAGGCCACCTGGAGAGCACAGACGCTCCTGGGATACCCATTGGATCTTTTACCCAACTTCAGTTAGCAGGCAGCAAGATTTTCTACATTCACACCTCAGATGATGAGGTAAAAATGGACAGTTTTGAGTTTGAAGTGACGGACGGGTACAATCCCATTTTCAGAACATTTCGAATCTCTATTGTGGATGTAGATAATAAGAAACCAGTTGTAACCATTAACGGTCTGGCTGTTACTGAGGGGCAGCTGAAGCTAATCACACCATTCGAGCTCACAGCTAAAGATCAGGACACAGACGAGAAGCTGATCAAATTTACAATCACTCAGTTGCCTTTTCATGGTAAACTGCTCTACAACCAGTCCACACCTGTCTCCAGCTTCACAAAACAAGACCTCAATGAAAACCTCATCAGCTACAAACACGATGGAACTGAATCCTCAGAAGACACCTTCTCCTTCACTGTCACTGATGGCACACACACAGACTTCTATGTTTTTCCAAACACGGTTTTTGAGACAAGACGCCCTCAGACTATGAAGATTACCGTACTGGCAATAGACAATGGTGTCCCTCAGATTGTGGTGAATAAAGGTGCAACTACTTTGAAGATTTTGTCCACAGGTCTTTTGGGGTTCCCCATAACCCCTAAAGTGTTAAGAGCAGAGGACAGGGACAGCAGCCCGGACTCTGTGTTGTTTCATATCACTACCCAGCCCAAACACGGTTACATCGTCAACCTGGGACATGGAAACAACTCCGTCGATACATTCAGTCAAGGTAAGCTCTTTTAATAATCATTAATAATATAATAAAAAAGTCAATCTGTTCATAACTTAACAAGAAAAACACAAGAAATCTATGAGTGCCAGTCAACAATACCTGTACATAGATGTGCTCATAGAAATATTGAAAATAAGAATGAGAAGTTTTGGAAATTTGACACATACAGCATGAAAGAAGGCTCAGAGACCTTTACTATCCATAGTCATTATTGTGCTTTCCTCCAAAATAAAATGTGTCCTGAACTTAAAACCCGAATGATACTTTGAGGAAAGATAACTAATACTAATAATAATAATATTATTTTAATGAGATCCTACTGAGATTTGTTTGTTTAAAAGCTATAGAACCACAGTTTTATATGTGTTTTCTCTGCTTAACATCTAAGGAAAAAGCATCACGTTTTTAAAAAATTTCTATCTATACAAGTTTAAGAGAAGAAAGCGTGCAGTTTGCACAATGTTGAAACATGATTCATTGTGCAATTATTGGCATTTGTTTGTCGCATTGATTAAAGGAAACATACAAAAATGATCCCCTTTATATTTATAAACACTGCTTATTTTTATATGGTCTTTATTAGGAGCCCCTGCAGAGAGCAAAATTGTTCACATATGGAGCATATTAGCAGATTGTGGACACCTTGTGTTAAACCGGCTGTATACTTATTTATCTCAACTAATTATATACACCATCATTGTTGTCACCAGGAATGTACTGATATGATATTTTTCTTTTTCTAAAATTTTAAGCCAAAATACCAAGTTCCATAGAAACACACTATTATTTATAGCATATTTACTCTTACCCAGACATGGGTAGTAACTACAGTAGCTGTAACATTTAATTGAATAAGGTTTTAGAGAAAAACAATTAGAAGTAGCTTTGGTGGATTTCTATAAATTATCACTACTATTTATATTTTAGTGTGCCTCAAAGATTATTTGTTTATTTATCATTAATTCAGATGACTGTATTATCAGTCATACAGTTGTTTTAGACTTAAAACTTTTTGGAGTAAAAAAACTTTGAAAGTGTTGCTTCTCTTACTTGAAATCCATTTTTAGATATTCTACGTATCTCCGTCAATAACATTGCTACCAATGTCTCTCATTTTGTTTTATTTTTTATTCTCTTTGCAAAAATCTTTAAATCAACACCATCATCATTTTTCTGTGGTTATTGCTCTACTGTAGGTGCTATATTGCTTTGTGGAAAAAAATAAATAAAAAGTGCAATTAGAGGGCATGTTGCAGCCGATCTAAAAAGAGTGTATGTAAAACCATTGAACAAAATGGCCAATTCAAATGAGGAAATTATGTCTGCTACTATGAATTTTTGGGGGCGGGGCATAAAAAAGGGATTAAGGTCAAAGTAGATTGATGAAGGTTTTTTTAAGGCTGATGCAAATACTGATTATTTAAACATCAGTCTAACCAATCCCTAATACATGCTGCTGAATTTTTAAGGCAGATTCTTGAAGCAGATATTGCTTTTTCTTCCTACATTTAAAGTATAAAAAAACCACAATGAGAGCAAATGTAAAAGAAGTGTTAAATAAAAAAAAAAGAAGCTTTCATTAAAATATTGTCCAGCTGATGTCTATTTGTAGTTCAAAGCGATGGAGTTGCATGTACAAATTAATAACAATAATTCAAAAAAGTTCTAATACAACTAATTATTCTTATTTATACAGAACAATATATGGTATCCTAAAGTGAAAAGTAACAATAATCAAAAAAGAAGAAAATAATAAATGTTCAAGTTAAAAGATAAAATATCAATCATCTTAAGCTGATACATAGGGATGCTTACCATCAGGTATTCAGAGAGAAAAAACATTTTTACCACCCCCCAATGTCACTTTACAGGCTTCATAATTGTTTCTAGTTCTCTGGTGGCTGGTAATGTTTAGTTTAATGTGTTTAGAAACACGGGCTGTACCCACAATTTCTTTTGGGTAAAAAAAAAAGTCACGTGCTGGGTGGTAAGGAATTACTATCAGCATATGTTCTTAATAATCCTTGAAACCCAGTCGGCCTCGGCAGATGGCTGCTCGCACTTAGTCTGGTTTTATTGGAGGTTTCTTCCTGTTAAAAGGGAGTTTTTCCTCTCCACTGTGGGATTGCTGTCGACTCAATGAATCAATGCAATCAGCTGTTTTTCTTTAGATAGAAAACTTTGAATCAGTTTGACTGTATGATCTGGCTGAATTGTGTATTTAAAGTGCCTTGAGATGACCTGTTGTGAATTGGTTCTATATAAATAAACTAAATAAAATATTCAAGAAGAAGAACACACAAAAAATTGTATCTGCAGTTCTGGTCATTTTAGACACGCAATTAAATTTGCATAGTTTTAATAGATCAGATCAGGTCACACTACCAAGTTTACACATGCTTTTATATAAGCAAAACAATAAAGGATCAGGCCCTTAATGTGCATAGTTTGTTTCATTTTTGTTGTTCATCTTATTAAATTAACAGTTGGTGTGCATAAAGCTTTGGTTAGTTAGTCAGGGCATCACGGCATGGTTGGCCATGTTTTTCACGATCATACAGCTTTAAAAACATAAACATTTTCTTATTTTTAATTGAGATAAAAGCGTATTAGTCAGGTTTCTGGAAGCTGAACGACAGTGCCCAGTAGTAGGCAGTGGCTGAACCTAATCTTTACAACTAGTACTTTGTCATAAATATTAGTTAAGAACATTTCAAACCGATGCCAACCTTCTCTGAGAGCTCAGTTGTCTTATTATTTTTGCAAAGGGAACTTGCTTTCACTGTATTTTATTAATCTAATAATTATTCATAGGTGTAACATGAAAAAAGTGACACATTCAAATCCCTTTGTAATTCAGTAAGTCTTATTATTTTCTCACTTTCTGCTTCCAAAAGATTTTAATTTATGCGGTTAAAATTATTCATACATGTGACAAGTGCCAGCTTGGGATTTTTAGTAGTTAATTTATGGGTCTGATTTAGATGTGCCTGCCTCATCAAATTGTAATTAGCGGACCAAAGTTAGTTGGTGATATTTTTGTAGACACTGCGGATTAATAATTTACTGTTTTCTGGGTCTTCCGGTTGATGTACCCTTCTGAGGTCTGTTAAATGAAGCAGGGCAGAGGTAGAGGATAGTGTGAAAAGGTCAGTGCAGAGCTGGAAGTGACAGGGTGGTATTTTAGCTGCGGTGAAATCTGGTAGCATAACTGGGTCGGGTCACTTTAAAGCAATTTATTCTAATTGTATGAGTTTTAGAAAATTGCACAGAAAAATTGTACACCTCCACATTTCTATCATAACACATGATTTTTTCCCCTGCATAATCGGCAAAAGTATGCTAAAGTGCGGAAATAAAGTTTAGTATTATTTAGCATAAAAGTTGATAGAAAACCTTTGAAATATTATTAAATAGGCTAAAAGCTGCAAATTTGAGTCTGGATAAGTACTGACACATGCACTCATATAACAATACCACTGATTGCTGTTTGAAGCAATGCAATCATCACGCCTTAGCAATTAAGCCAACATGTACAGATATTCACCTGCTCTGTATAAGCAATGATTTAAGCTGAAATCTAACAGCAAAAAAAGAAACCTTTAAGGAGACGGACGCTCTTTACAAATATTGTGTGGCTTCAGTCTTCCAAACAATAAAGAGCCCAGATAAGACGAGAGCGCAGAGAGAAAAAAGCAGAAAAGTACTGAGGAGGGGAAGGAGAGTGCAGAGGAGCCGGCTGGGGAAGCGGGTGAGGGGATGTAAGTGACATTAGAGAAATAAGGAATGAGGGAAGGGCCGTGAAAGAATGAGTGAGAGAGACCAAACAGGCTTGTCAAAAGAGGCAGTCAGGTGAAAGAGACAATCCTTTGCTCTTTATTTACTCGTCCTTTTCCAGGGCACTCCCCAAGAGACATTCCGTTTAAATATTGAATGAAGAGCCTGCCCCCTGTTTGCACTGTTAACTTTAGATTTGTAAGGTCTTCTGGTTTAAACCAGTGCTGTTAAACATTCTCTTAAATTAAAACAGAACTGTGAAAATAATTACTGAACAGTTTTTTTTTTTATTACATTTATGTATGTATCCCTTTAAAAATTAAATATTGTCTCCCTTTATTTTCCTTTGAACAGCTGGCTTAGGGTCTCACAAGCTGGTTTGCATCCAATTATTATTTTTGCAAACTGATCAATCTGTTGACTATTTTTTCTTACTTAGCCAATGATTATCAGCTAGCATAAGGTGCTTAAAACAGGTCAAATTAAAACTATAGCTAATTATTTCTGACTTGGCTCAATAATAAATTTATTTATTTATTTTTTTTACTTTGGCATGTTTTAGAGTCCAATTAAATATTATTTATTTTCTAAATAAGTTGATGAGTTTATCATGATAAAGTGTTTCAACCTCCCAAAAGCATCTTAATCAGATTTAAGTTCTGTGTAGGTAAGCAATGATATGAAAATCTGGGCTAATATTGGTAACTAATGTTAATATTACAGTGAAGAAAACTGACATTTACTGATATCATATATTTCTCAACTTTTTGGTTTCTATTAAAAAGTAAACACAGCGCTGACATTCCTTCTCTGCTTCACTTAAACACATAATTCCAAGCTGCACCACAATCACTGTCACATAACCAAATACTACATGACTGATCTCCACCCCTTAAAAAAAAGTAGCAACTACATGAAAGAAAACTACATTGGCTGAGACTGATAAGCTTCAAAATGGCCGATATTTCCTGCATCCCTATTTGTGAATTTGATCATTTCTCTGCAACTTGTTTTTTTCATTGTTTCTTTAATAATAAAGCACCTGCAGTATATCGTTCAAAATATAATTTTTGAGTTCATATCTACTAGGAGTAGCATGATATTATGCTGCAGTGGCTATAGAGCTATGTCGGCACCCATACTGAGAGAGGCAGTGTTACAGTGAAGGCAAGTATGGTTCTTCCAGGTTGGAAAAATAGAACCAAAAACAGCTAATATTTCATAACAAATGAATAATCTATAGTGATACAGCTAATAGTCATCTTACATGTGCCTATAGTTGATGTTGGAATGCTTAAAAAACCATAATATAGAAACTTTAAAAGGTGAAATTGCTGATGTTATTTGAATATTAACTGACTGCATGATCCTGGTTTGCTGGAATCCTTAAGCCTTAGAAAGCACTTTGTAAGGATATTCCAGGCTGATAGTTACCAATGACTGGGCCTTGAATTTATTTTGCTTGGGATATGATGTGTTGCTTTTTGAGATCATTCGGTGGCCTGTCTGTGTTCAGTCAGGCTCTACTTAAATGACCATTTACCCTAGAAATTATATGAATTACTGTTAAACCAATATTTTTTCAAAAGGTTACCTATTGGGTTCAATGCAACTCTTTTACTTGCCGGACTTTTCTATCAGCTGAATCTGCTGACTTCACCTGCAGGTGGATCACAGACCTTCTGATAGACAGGAAGTAGCATGATCATGTGTGAGTTTTAGTTATAGGTGTAAGGCACAATATTGGGCAAAATTTGCTGCTTGGCAGAGGTCTGTGCTCTCTGAGTGCTTTTCTGGTTTCATATTATTGTCATTTTATATTCATAATATTTGCTAAGGTGTTCCTCCTTTGCAAAAAGTTTAATGTTTATTCTTTCAGTTTATGTGTGTAACCTTTATTTTCCCAGTTAAACTTCATTAAGAGTAAAAAATATTTTTCAACAGATATCTGACATTATTGTTTCTCATCACCTATAATTTGTCTAATCCAAATGAACTGACAGCTGTATGTTTTCTAATCTGTGTTCCACCACATAACCAAAGATAATTATTTTTTTATTGGTAAAAAAAAAGCTACTTGTGGCAATATTTTTTTTGTTTTTATTCTGTTTCTGATGTTTTTAATAAAGGCCAAGTTATTTCAGCTAGTTTCTTGATATTTTTTCTAATGTTTTGAATTAATAAAGTGTATCTAAAAAGTAAAATTAAAAGAAATTCTGTTAGAGGCCAAAAATTCTGAAGGTTCTGTATAGAGAAAATAATCAAACCAGGCCACCTACAGTAACTGGCAGACATCCAAGTCAAAAGTCAAGGGTTTACAGTTTTATGAACATTCTTCCCGACATCTATTATTGAAGCATAAGCTGTGCTGGGGCAAGGCTCTTTTGCAGTGTTTATGATTTCTCCGTGCCATAATAGATGTTTTTGGGGAAATTCTTGGGGGAAAAGGTGCATCCACAGCCCTGTAATTCTGCAAAGTTTAGGAAACAGATGTGTGGTGCCCCGTTCCATCCTGTTCTTAACATTCTTACCTCGCCTGTCATTAAAAGATCCGCCATCACCTGCTTTTTTTTGTATGTCGCTGGGTGAGGGGGTGGGGGTTTGGCCTGGGAGTTTTAATTGACATGGACCGCTTTCTGGTCTTTTTGGATTTAAACCTTTTATTTCTTCTCTTTAAGCTTGAGACATTTTAGATTTCAGGTTTGCATGCCTTATAGCCCCAGATTACAGATGCATGACTTTCAAAAATGATTTCTCCGGTTGGAAATTGTTCATGCTGAGCACTGATAAGTAATTGAATCAGTGTGATACTAGAGACCTGCTGTTAGTATAGCCGACACTAAAGCAGGACAGCTTGCGTCTCTGAACACTTATTTGAAGGGAGGAAGTGTTTGAACAAGCCAAAGGGCTGCAATGCAACTTCAAACGGGTGTTTGAGGCCATTTCTGCAGTCAGCATGAAACAACCCATGAAAGTTCATTAATCACAAAATGCTAATTCTTTCTTAAATATATTTTTTATATATTCCTTCTCAAAGACAAATATCTTCCGTGTGCAGTTTAGACTTTAACCATCATTTTACATTTTCATCATGCCTCACCTAACATTGACTTGACCATGAAATGTTAGATTACACTGACCCTAACTGGGATTCATTTATACTGATGTGAAATGTTTTTGCTTTCTTTATGTTTATTATCTCCTCTTTGGTTAGATTTAATCTCACAATTATTTTTTCTGATCTTGCTTTTAAGGATATTTCAGTTTCAAAAGATCTCATTTAGATAACTGGTTTAAAAACAACCTCTACTTTGTTTTCTTTCCAGCCGACATCGACGATCTGAACATCTGCTATGTGCTGCAGAGTGGTGAAAATGCTACTTCTGATGTCTTTCACTTCTTCGTTGAGGACAACAGTAAGATTTTTTAATTTTTTCATTTTCCAAGTATCGGCTACTTTAAGTCACTCCAATGTCCATAATTAAGTCAGTCTGTTTAATAACCAGCTAATGTCGAAAAAGGATGAATTTGTTAAATTAAAAAAAAAAAGAAATATCTTTTAAAAATAAATATAAAAAAATAAATTGACATAAAGTTAACATGTTATTTAAGGATTTAGGTAGAAAGGAAAAAGGTAACTTATCACACCAGTTTTCATAAACAGGGTCATTTAAATGCTTCAGAGAAAGAACAAAGTTGCACAGACTGAAAAAAATAAACAGCTGAGATAAGAAATTTTAATTATGTTATAAAGTTAAAGCAAAGAAAAACTTTAAAAAAAGCATAAATTCAGTTGGTGGTTAGGAACACAGAATCTTAATGCTGCCTCCACTCATTTCCTCATTCTGAGAATACAGAGTAACAAGCCCTCTGACCCGACAGGCCCAAATGATTCATACCTGAACAGCAACTGGTCAGATTAATAGTATTTGCTCCATTGCAATAAGTGCTGTGTAGACCATTCACACATTTTAAAGTGAGCTTTGATAATGGGGGGACAATTTCTGTGATTTAATATAGGGTGTACTGTAATGTGACCCAATGTGTTGTTTAGACACACATATCAGTATAAACTTATTAAAAGGAAGCTCCGGTTTTAAGTGTCCTGTTTCAAAAGAAACACAATTTTCTAGCAAGGCTTTTATGGTCTCGGTAGGATGAATTATTGATGTATTTTACTTGGTTGTTAAAATTCAGGACAGATTGTGTGATGACACCTATGTTCTTTTCTTGCTCATTGATCCTTAGCCCCATGTCACTAAACCGAGAACTGATTTTAACCTTGCATTATTTTTCTACATTGAGTTAATTTTGACTTATTCATCCAGAAATACTCACTGTAAAGGACTATGGTCAAATATAAAATTGTAAGTCATCAGCAAATATAATGTGGTAGACTCCATATCACAGTACTCCAAATGTCCTTTTTGTTTCAATTTAAGGTCGTAATAACCAATGATAAATAGAAAATGCAGAATAAAGAACTAACCTGCTATGAAATCAGCTATGAATTAGTAATTCATAGCAGATTTCATCACATTAGTAACTGACATTTTCCTCCCTATGGAATAGCTAGGGATGAAAAAAGAATGACAGTTTTGTTTTTAGACTTCTTCTTCAATGCAAGTGCAATAAATATTAAAAGAGCATGCATTTTATTCTAGTTAAAGGTGATATAAAGAAAAACAGGTAATCTGATCAACATAGGCACATTTCTTGCTGACTGACTATCTTTACTTTAAAACCTGACTGAATGAGCATCAAGCTACCAGGAAGTGATGCGTCTATTTTAAACCGCTCTGCATGTTCTACCAATTTTGTTTCTATTGTAAAATTTTAGAGGATTATTAGCAACGAGATTTAAATTAGCCGATATCTTTTCTAAATTTTACAATCCTTCTGTGAAGCCATCCTCAACACAAAACAGCAAACTTATCTTAGTCTATGGAAAACGCCTTCTTGAAGAATGCCTAAGCAAATATTGTAAGTAATCAACAAGAATGGGACCACAGGATTTCTTTTACACATTAATCCTGTAATTGTTTCATTTTCTTTGTCTGTTTTTTGTTGATAATTTTACTTAACTCTTAAATATTTGTTAGTATTTAAATGTATTTAGATAATTTGTCAGATTACTTTGTCGGTTCGGTTGCTCTTTTGTCTTGTATTTTAAAACTTTTTTACAACGTATGGTTTATCAGTGGAACAAAATGGAAATACCTGTATCCTAGGTGAAAAGGATGATTTTGCTTGCAGTAATGCACTTTTCACATAAGCAACTTTGCACAAAGACAGTTTGGAAGTTTGGAAGTCACTACTCTTTTTTTATGTTGACATTATTTTAAGAAAGCTCTACGAGCAAAATCAGTAAATTTTGGTTAAAATATAGCAAGACTGCCTTAGGCAAGAGAAGAAATAGTCCTTGTGCATTGAATTCTCATATAATACTAAAAGCTGCACCTAACTTCATTGCATCTATTTAAGACATTCTCTTTTGAAATTGTAATTTTCAGAGACTATGATAATTCTCAGACAATTCTTCATTCTCTATTTTATTGTTGTGATGGATTTTCAAGTCAGCTGCCAAGCTACGGATAGAAAAACAAATATTTGTATATTATTTCCCTTAGGTTTTCAAAACTGATCAGTGAAGCATAATTTGGCTTTTTTTTGTGCCAGATTTGTTTTGAATTTACACATAAAATGATCTGACAGTCAAAGTAGTGACACATAGTATTAGCTCTGACGTATTCAGAACTCTCCTCACTGCATTTATGGTTTGCATATTATGTTCCCCCATGGTGGCTGCATTATATACTGACCACGACAACTTGCAAAAGAGGAGCATCTAAAAGAATGAATCCTCTCTCAACTTTACAGTGGATTGGCGGCCTTGTGGTTAGGGAGCATAGTGCTTGGAATCCTGAGGTTGTGAGTTTAAGCCCCACTCCCACATACTGCAGCTCTTGGTCTCTGAGCAGGACCCTTAACCCCACACTGCTCCCTGGGTGCCCCACGATGGCAGCCCACTGCTCCCCAAGGGGATGGGTTAAATGCAGAGGTAAATTTCTCCAATGTGAGATCAATAAAGTTCAATTAATTAAATAATTATTATAAATTAATTTTGCTAAAACCTAGCAGTGAACTGATCAGATACTATGCCAATCTTTGCAACTTTCTTTCTCTCTTTTCTTTTACAATTTACTCAATTAAAGAGACAGTCGGAATGTTTTAAATATTTTGCTATTTGATATGCCAAGAAAAAATTTCAGAATGTTTTTTTGTATAAAGTTGTTTATATTTGGTCACATTTTAAGATATAGGACACACGATATCTAGATTATAACATTGGAGCCAGCAGAAATTTTGCCTTTTTCAGTTTTAAAAATGTGAAAAGTAAACTATTAAACATTCTCACCCTAAAGTATATACCCAACTGCTTTGTTTTCAAAGCAGTAGAGACAGAATCAAATTTATTCTGTTTAGGTAAACACTGTCATATGTACTTTGCAGTTTTGCAAATGACATGAAGATTTAACAATCAGCATATTTTATTGAATATGCATCCCTGCTGTGTGCATCTTCTCAGGAAGACATCGTCTTATTTTAATAGCCCATTTTTCATGTTAAAAGTCGTTATTCAGGGAGACAGTTAGAGGTGTATGCTTTTGTTCCACATCAGCAAACTGCATGAATACAGTACAAACCTTTAAACATCAAGAGAAAATCACAAGTGAATAAAAATGTGGAGTTACAAAATTGCTTGGTAAAAGCATAAACAACTTAAGTGGAAAGTGAAAACATTTAGAAAAACAAGAAATTCAAATTTAAATTAAGCAATGATGCAAACAACTCTTTTTTTTTTTTTTACCATGTTAATCTTTGTGGCTCTTTGTAGTTAGAGAAAACAATTTTTTTGATAAATAAAACAATACATTTGAGCTTTTACAAAATATTTGATTAAATATAATATAAAATATAAAAAATAAATATCAATGATAAAGCAAGTGGTAAAGTAAGCTCCCTCTGTCGATTGTTTTATTTTTGATCACCTCAAAGCTTCAACCCTCTTTTTTCTGGATCAACAATAGTAGAAGTTACAGGCTGAACCATAAACCACCTTATAAAAGCACTGCCCTAATATTCTTCCATGCTACAGCAACAAACTATTCATTTTGATTTTTCAAATTAGGTTTTCTGTGATTGACCAACAGTGAGACAGATTGCTCTTCATGTAAGAAGCATTCGTATTAACAAATTCATTCTTAAATTGTTTGTATTAGTGATTTAGGATAAAATGTTGTACTCACCATTTTTTTTTTTTCATATTTCTAACCTTCTCTCAGATACGATCAAAAATTACGAGCACTCCAGACTGGACTGGGAGTCTTTCCTAATCAGTCAGCTGTTATCCCATGTAAATGTCTACATTTGTTTTACTTAGAAGCAATTGTCCATTTTATCATTATTTATTATGCAACTCTACGGTTTTTATTTCCATTTTTATTCGCTGAAGACAGATTTATCAGTTACTACACCTGCAGCTTACATGTCGGAATCCAGCGAACACTGGTTTAATTTGTTCTGATTTCATCAAAAAAAAGAACAGTAATTGAGCTTTATGTAAGATCAAGCTGCTATTGAAATAAAATCTGGAACATAAACTAGATAGAAAGTTCAGTAACACCGTAGGCCATGCATTCATTTCACTCCATGGCAGTTCATTGGCTTTGTTATAACATTAAATGGGAAATGTTTGTGTCTGTCTGAATTTGTCAAATTAGAGTTTAGCCGTTTTATGTTAATGTTTTGTACGAGAGAGATGGAGAGTAAGGTGAAGGGATGACAGATGTGATCTGAAGATGTGTTGTACAGTTTACATGTGCATGTGTGCATTGAAAGGAGATTTTGCAGAATGTTGTCGTGTTGTTTGATGGCAAACTGATATTAAGCATTTACATTATATATTGCACCTCTAGCCCTCCATCAGTAGTTTTCATTGACTGTTTTCAGATCAAATAATTTAATTAATTAATTATTATAATTAATTATTATTATATAATATATAAATTTTTTTCATTTTTTACTCCTGAAACAGTTTAAACACATCATTTAAAGCTCTTGTGATTTATTGATTCTGCTGCTCAGTTCTCAGTCAGTAGAACCTCGATCTCCAAAACAATTATGTCTTTCTTCTTTGTTTTCAATGCTTTTTTTTATAAATAACAAGCGTGGAAATTTCACCTGTATATAAGTGAGTGCACATTGTAGAGAAATGTAAAGTGGCATAATTACTTTCTAAATTATGCCAGATAGGGGAAATTTCCACAGACCAGTGGTTTGTTTTGAAACTTCTTTTGGAATGACTATGAGCTGGATGACTGAGAATCTTCACCAACTTTTAAGAGGATCATTT